ATTGAGAAAATACATATAATTGGTCCACTAACATAAGTCCACTAGGCTTCATCAGCAGTTATTGTCTTGTTGAGTTCTTGAAAAATATTATTCATTTCTTGTGCTCTAATTATTGAGATTTTATGTTGAAGGTCTTCATCATTCATAATATCTTCTTTTTCTTCTTTTTCATGCTCAAAGGGTCTTCTTACTATTCCAAACTTAATCAGATTAATTGGAGGATAAAATTTATCAAGAATTATTTCAGCTATTGTTGAATAACACTGAATATAAACCCGATATTGAGTTACAATTTCAAAATAGTGTTTAGCAGCTTCCTTGATGAAGTTTGGAAGTTTGGATATTTCTAACATGTCATTAGATAGATATATTGAGTATATAAAGTCATAACTGAATAGGGATTTTACAAGTTTTGGATTAGTTCCTAGATATATAATGACTTTGTTAAAAGAGTAATGAGAAACATATTTGATATTGTTAGTTTTTGGAAGGAGAAAATGATTAGTCTTATTGATAAGAAGTTTAAGAAAATTATATTGGTCAATGGTTTTAAAGGATGGTGAAGTTACTGGACTTAGACTTCTTCTCTTAGAAGAGGTAGAAATAGAAGAACTGTTCTGAGGTGTTTTTGCTTCTATTTGGGCTTGAGATTTCTAGGCATGTTTTACTATTTTAGTAAATGGAGTTATTGGGTCAGATCTAAATGAGCTGTGAGGCTGGATTTGAGAATCTGATGTTTAGGTTGAAACATCAGCTACTTGTCTTTTTATAGATAATGGTTTCTTGAATTTTTCTCCAAGGACTCCACTTTATTTGTCAAAATATTCATCTCATTTGTGAGATGAGTTATTGTTTCAGATAATAATTGAATATTGATATTTAGTTGTCTAGCAATCAGGCTCATATTCATTTCAAGAATATTTACCTTCATAATTACTTGGTCTAGTGGGGTTATAATTTCTTTTGGCGAACCATCACCACTATTTGTTATCATACTTGTCTCGCTTTTATTCGGTTCCATCTGGACAAATAATTAGCAACAAGATTATTTTTACCTTTGAATATTCAATTTCATAATCATACTAAGACATATCAGTTTTCCATTTAATTAACATTTTATTACATAATTGAGTTGTTTTTATTCCTTTATTTAACCAATATTTTACTTAAGTATTATTAGTTCTTATAATGAATCTAGTATTAACTATGAATAATTCAAATTTTTGTACATCTTTAACTATTACTAAAAATTCTTTCCAATTAAAATGATATCTAGTTTGTGATTCATTAAACTTTCACTTGCATATCATGTTATTACTTCTTCTTTTCTTCTTTATTATTGATGTGATATAAAGCTGCTTCCCAATAATTTTTACTAGCATTTGTATAAATTACCCATATTATATCATTATTTACTAGAATGGTAAATTTAGATATATTTTGACATAAAGTTTTTATCTAGTTTACTATTTTTTCTTTATCTTTATCCCATGTCTATACTATTTTTTTTCTCCTACTAATTTGCTAACTTTAGTTGTTAATTTTGATAAATTGAGAATATAGTTTCTAACCTGATTTACTAATCCTAAAAATGATTGAAGTTTCTTTTATTTTTTATTTCATCAAATTCTAATATCTTTTTACTAATATGTTCTTGTAATTCTATTCCATCATTAGTTATATATTGGCCTAAAAATTTTATTTTTTCTTTTCTTAATTCAACTTTTTTTTGGTGATATATTTAATCATTTTTCTTCTATTAAAATTATAAATTTTTCTAAGTGATTTTCATGTTCTTCTTTATCTTTTAAAAATATTAAAATATCATCTATATATATTACAGCAAATTCTTTTATTAGGAATAATAATTTTGTCACATATTCTTGAAATATACTAGAACTATTATGAAATCCCATAGGTAGTACATTTCATTCATATAATCCTTCAGATGTACTAAAAGCAGTATATTTGTTACTTTCTTCTTCTAATTTTATTTGAAAAAATCTTGATTTATAATCAAACTTGTTAAAAATATTTTTTCCCCTTATCAAACTAAATAACAAATCTATTTTAGAGATTGGTATCTATTTCTTATTGCTAATTCATTTAATTTTTTTTATAATTTATGACTAATCTAAATTTTTTTTCTTTACTATATTTTACTACAATCATTGCTAGTAATGAATATCCAAATCTACTTTTTCTTATTAAATCACATTATTTCATTTTATTAATATGCATTACAAATTATTTTTATTATTTTTAGTTCATGGATAGGGTTTATAATTTATTTCTTTATTGTAGTTTTTGCTAAAGATTTTAATTTTTTTCAATGTATTAAAGGATTATCACTATAATTTTTTAATAATCTTTATTCGATTGTTTTTCTTTTTACCTCTTTTGTAGTATTTAACATTTTTATTGAATTTAGAACTTCATTATTATATAATAATTTATTTATTTGATAAGAATTGTACTTCATATTCTTCTATTTTCTTTTGAAATTTTTCATCTTTTCTACTATAAGGTTTAGCTATTCTTATTTTTCATGATTGATGATTACAAAGTATTGTAAATATTATTGCTTTTTCAAACATATGTAAAGGACAATATTGTTCAATAAAATCTATTTTTAATATTAAATCACATGAATTATCATTATATTGATTTAACTTTCAAATTTTTAGTTCATATTCTCCTATTTGTACCATAATATCTTTTGCTTCTAATTCTATGCAATTTATTTCTTTTCCTACTCCTTACATTCTTAATATTTTATTCTTTTTTTTTTCATAATTCATTAGGTAATATATTTGCTTTTGCTATTGATACATTTGCTCCTGTATCCACTAAAGCATGATATTTTTTAGATCAATATTTTTGATAATTAAATTTTATCAATATTTAATATAGCTTTGTCATATCAATTTTATCTTTGGGATTACTATTATTTGATGATTTATATTTATTACAAGTCTTTCTTTTTGTGTTCTATATGGTTTAACTTGTTCTAAAAAATTCCTTCCTAAAATTATTTTACATTGGTTATTATTATCATTTATTACCCAAAATATTATATTTATAACATCTCTTCTATTTATTCTTATTAATGAAAATGTTTTGTTTCCTTCATTTGTTACTTCTAAATTATTAATTGTTAATCCTAATTGTATTGTACTTTTTTCTTTTTTTGGATCTATTAAAGTCATAATTTCAATCCATGATGCTTCTTGTTTTACTTCTGTTAATATATAATTATTATTTTCTCTTGATGTTTTAGGTCTTAGTAATTCTAAATTTGATGTTATAGGTCTATCACTATGTGATCTAGATAATCTTTGTTCCCTAGATATGCCTTTACTATTACTAGGTCTTTGTTCTAAACTCAAATTTCTTCTTGTAGGTTGATTAATATTTATATTTAATGTTAATGTATTTATTCTTAATGATCTTTATTCTATAATATCATTTGTTATTAATCTTTGTGAACTATTTCCTTCAACATATTGTATAGTATTATCCCATTTTAACATTAATCATTCAGGTATTGTTGTCTTAGTTGGATTGAACTCAACTTCTTGTACTACTGGCATAAAGTGTTTGTTAATAGTTAATTTTTCTTTATTTCTTTTATAAATTTTATGTTCGTTGGTAAATATTAATCATATCATTACTGTTATACTTATTGTTCTTGATCCTGGTAATAGTTCTATTCCTTCTAATTTGTGATAGATTAACAAAGTTTTATTTATATTTTCATCTGCTCTAGATGTTAAAAAATTATTATTTATTATGAATTTAATTTTTGGAATATCAAATTTTTTATTAATATTTCTAAAATATTGTCTTCAACACTACTTGTTATTCTTCCATCAGTTATTAATAATTCTATAAGTGTATTTCTTCCTTCTTGAAAATAAGTGTTTATTAATAATTGTACTCCTGCAATATATATTTTAGTTACTTTATCTTTAAATGGTAATTTATTAATTTCTATATCTATTAAGGTTTTACTTATTACAGGTATTCTTAATACTCTTTCTGTTAGTATTGATTCTATTGAGTGTTTCTTTTCTAAAACTATACAAGCCTATTCTTCTTGTTTTTTAGATTTTATAAGTTTTCCTACTTTGTTCATAAAACTTTCATTTTTTTAATTCTTTAGATTTTAAATTTAAGTTTGTATCTCTTATTTTTTTCATATTATTTTTGATTAAAAGTCATTCTTTTTGGGTTATTCCTTCTTCATCATTTGTAACCTCTTCATATTCATTCTGATTACTACTTTCAGGTTCATCTTCTATTTTATTTATCATATACATATATAACAATTTTTTTGATTCACTATTTTAGTTTTTGTTTCCGTTTCACTTATTATTTTTAATTTATATATTTCTATATCTAATTTTTCTAATTTATTTTTTATTTTAGATAATTCTTCATCATATCCTATAGGTTTTGAGTCTTCTTTGTAAGCTTGTTTCATTATTTTTATTATTTTTCTCTTTAGAGCAATTTAGTGATATATATCCTAATTCTCCACAATCATAACATTTCATTTCTTGAGTTTTTGTAATAACCCTTAAAAAAATATAACAAAATAATAATAATAATAATAATAATAATAATAATAATAATAATAATAATAATAATAAATAAGATAATAAAACAAAAAAAATAATGATAATAATAATAACTAATAAAATTAAAAAATTAATTAATAATAACATATTTTAATTGTATTTTTATAAATTTTGAGGTAGTTATAATAAAGTGAATGGATAACTTAGTGAAAATTATTTTGAGTTTTTACTTGTTGCTTCAGAGTTCAAATCTTTGCTTTAGATTATTATTATTATTATTATTATTATTATTATTATTATTTTTGGCTTTTGCTTCAGCCTGTGAAATTATTGCTATGTCTTTGTTGAGAAATATATATATATATATATATATAGAATAAGGTGGGGGAGCATGTTAGATTAAGACCAAATATTTTTTTCTCCTCATCCTCTTCGACTCGGTTTCAGAGAAAAGAGAGGAGGGCTCCATACCAGCCATCGTTCCTCTCCCTTTGTTCCAATTCCTCTGGCATGGGTTGTGTGACTGCTATGATCTGCCATGCAGGAAGCTTAGGTTAGGAGTTTTCATTCTTCTCCCATGGTGATCGCCGGCATCGACTGGCATCTCTGTCTGTGGGTTGAATTTGTTCAAATCTTTTTCTTCCTTTAGCTTCGTTTCTCTTAGTCCGCCGCTGGTGACTGGAGGAAAACGTCAAAATCCTCCTCCTTCAACGGTGCTGTTGTGTTCGTGCGTTTGGATTCTTCCTCCCCTATTTTCACAGTGAACTTCTCCTCTCCTTCCTTTGATCGAGCTACTGTGAAGTATCAGGTTTTTCCTCTTCTCCTTCCAGTCCTGATGCATAATCTCTTTTTCTTGTTTGTGTTTTAGCTTTGAATTCAGACATTCATTGCCTTTTGTCTCTCTGTCCTGCTGTTTCAATTGAGATGAGAAATCATAATTTTTTTTATGTTCCTTAAAAAAAAATTTGTGCGTGTAGTATGAGATGTGATAGAGTTGAAGTTGGAATTTTTTCTCTTGAATTTTTGCTATTGTTCGTATCTGTTAAAAAAAAAAAGAAGAAGAAGGAGGGGAGAGGGAGAGAGGGAGAGAGAGAGAAACTGAAGCTGAAAATTTATGTGCTTAAAACATAATTATGATAAGTGTAAGTTAGAATTTTGAGTTAAATTATCTTTTTTAGGAATGGTTGATGTTGAAAAATTGGTTAGGATGAGAATTGGATAGAAGAATTTGAACATGAAATTTGTAGAATGGTGCCTATAAGATGTTTGATAAAATGCTTGGAAGATGGAGTTGCTTGATTGTGCATTTTCTAAAATTTCATTAAATTTTTTGAGATACTGAATGGCTTGGATGCTATTAGCTTGTGAATTGAGTTTGATATTATATAAAAATTTGATCATAAAGATAACGTGGCTATGCTTATTAAGAAATTGTTGGGCAAAATATGTGAATGTTAAAAAGCTTTATGGAGGGATTTGGAATTAATGTACATTTGGTGTTTCGATTAAAAAAAATTTAGGTAATTTATAAATATGGAAGACATTTATTTTTTAGAATAGAAGATTTGAAATCAAGATTTTTGGAAAAGATATTTTGTTGGTGATTTAAGGCAAATTGTTGTTTATATATATTCATCTTTGAAATATTTGTGGAGTGTTTGATGTGATTATTGAAAAAGTTTGAAGTTAAGACCTTTATCTTTTATTTTTACTCATTTTTGGACTGAAGATTTTGAATAATAAGGCATATAAGAAAATGATAATGATATTAACTGGACATTAGGAACTTAGAGATAAATCATTGACACAAGAGTGCCAATTTGAAGTAAATTTTACATTTGAAAACATGTCAAGTAAGTAGATAGCGTCTCAATTAATTTTTTCAATCAAAATTTCTTTTACTAAAATATTACGTTTTTCTGCAAATTATTTTAATAGTAATAATGTAATTATTGGATATTTGTTGATTAAAATTATTTTATTTTGAGAAATTACCTTTACCAGATTTAAAATGTTATTTGATCAATTAAAACAAGTTTGGACTTTGATTATCAAATTTTTTTTATTTTTTATTCTATCAAATATTAGATTGATATATAAAATGATTCATGTTAGTTCAACATTAAAAATAAAAATTTTATTTAATAATAATTATTTTATTGTATGTCTGCAAATAGATTTAGAGGAGATTTTATGTAGAACACTAATTGCTACCGGCAGTTTCGTTAGCCCTTATCATGCTATGATCAATGACTAGCTAGTTTAATTTTTGTAAGCTTTATTCTCAGATTTGTTATTTATGGGTCTCGTACTCATGTTTGTTTTATGACCTTAAGCTACATTTGATTAGCCTTATCCTCATGGACTATGTGTCTATATTTGTTTCGTGGCCTTGAGCTGCATTTGGTTAGCCTTACTCTCGTGAACTATGTGTCCATATTTATTTTCATGGCAAAAACTGCATTTGGTTATTTACTCTCGTGGACTGTACGTTCACGTTTGTGAATTGTTTTGATAAATCCCCCTAAAAATAAATAAATAAATAAGTATATGAATTTTAATTAAATGTTGATTTCATGCATAATGATTTTTTTATTTAGTAAATATTGTTATTCTTATTTTTTTTTATTTAATCATTTTGACTTGTCAAGATTAAATACTAAAGCTGTTTTTGTCACTATAGATTTAAATGTTTTCATTATTGAAGTTATATAGAACTTTTATTTCACATTTATAAATTTGTATATATTGAATTGCTTTCTCATGTAATTTATATAATTATTGTATTTTACTCATTGTGATTCTGCAAAAATGTTGTAGTTGGGAAGTTATTCACTAAAAAATATTTAATTTGGTCTCAGATGGCATAGCTGACCTTATATCTTCGTCAGATCCTTGAAGGGATTTTGCTTCTGGGTTGAAGTAGAGATGTTATTTTGGTTAATTTGTATTTTGATAGAAATTTATGATTTATATATTGTATTTTATAAATAATATTTTAGATTCTTAGGTGATCCATATAGACTATAGTTAGAGTCTTGATCTTTAAATTTGTGTTGTAGAATTTTGAAAATTCTATTTTTATAGTAAGTTTTGTCAAAAATTTTTTAAAAATTGATGATTTGTAGCTTTTATAAAAGTATCGTATAGTTGTTTATTGATATTAATAACATATGCAAATTTTAGAATTAGAGTTTTCTTGAATTAAGGCTTTCAAAATGTGGAATATTATTCCAATGTTTCGCGCCGATCTTGCCTTATTTTTTGGGCATGACAATTTTTTACTATAATTTATTCTTTTTTTGTTTTCCTTTTGAAAAAAATTTTAGGTTTATATTTTCTGTATTTTTTATAAAATTTTTATTTCGGATATTCCTTAAATTTAATTTTTAATCTTCTTTTCTTTTTCTTTTTATATTTTTCTAGCTTACATCCCCATTTATGTGGTTTTTTGAAATTCTCCACATCTCAATATTATTTTATTAGTTTTATAATATTTCATATTTCTCCATGCATTTTTATTTTTGATATATATTCTCTTAGAAATTTTTCTTTGCTTTCCATAGTATCTACCTTATTAAAAACATTTATTGGTCCTTTTTCTATATCATCTATTATGTCTTCTTCTAATAACATTATCTTATATGTTTTATAATAATAATATATTATTGTATTTGATATTAATGGTGGTAATTTTTTATAAAATAAATCTAAATAAAATCTTTCTCCTTTTAAATCTCCTAATCTTGCTTCATAATAATATTTTTTTATATTCACAAAATATAAGGATTTAAGTATCTAGGTTCTAATGAACATATCTCTATTTCATATAGTTTTTTTTATAGCACTTTTTAATAGTTATTTCATATATATCTTCACTTATTCCTACAAATTCATTTCTAATTAGTTTTTCATAATTTGATACAATCATTGAATATAATTCTTCTTTATTATTATAAGTTTTGTTTGGTTTTTTTAATTTTTCTCTAAATTCTTGAGATTTATTTATCTACCAATTTATTACATTTCTTAAAAATATTGCTCCTATTAACATAGTTACTGTTTGTAGGTCTATATTTTTGCCTATTAAAGGTATTAAAGTTGCTTTTGCCCATTCTTCTATTATTTTTTTATTATTTAAATTATAATCTAAATTTAACTATATTTCTGAATTTGATATTTATCTATTTTCATATTATTCTAATGGGGTCAGTACAAATTCATTATTTTTAGATATATTAAATGTTTCTCTAAAGGGAATATTACTACAATAATTATAAGACTTAAATTTAGTTTGATAATTTTCCTCCTTTTCATAAGATTCCATCATTCTTTCATCATTTCTTTCTTCTGATGTTCTACAGAATTCCACATTCATCTTATTATAAGTTTCATCTCCTAAGTTTAGCGGGTTAAAATTTTGAGGCAATCTATATTGAGGTTGTTCATAATTTACTATTTGTGAATTATGCATGTTTATAAATGCTTCATTATAATTATTACTTATTAAATGTTTATATTCTTATTTTAATTATTTCAATTTTTCTTTTTCTTCATTTTCTAATAACTTGTCTAATTTCATTTTTAATTCTTCTGATTGATTTAATTCATCATTTGTTTCTCCTATTGTTTTAGCCATGTTTATATTTACTTTTAATTGTGTTTTATTTATTTTCTTTGTTGGTTTATAATTATAATTTCTTAACATTATTTCTGCAGCTCTACAACTTATTTCAAAATCTATTTGTTCTTGTTTCGTTAATTCTTCTGGTTCTTTTCTTTTTTCTTTTTTTATTTTTTGCATAATTATTTCCATGTTTTTTATCATATATTTCTAATTCTAATTTTTTAATTTGTTCATATATTGACCATATATTGTTATTTAATATTTCTTGTCCTTTCTTTAACTTTTTGCTACTATTCTTGTTTGTTTTATATTTTCATGAATATCTTAGTTTCTTATTTTTTCTTATGATATATTATTATCTTCAATTATTCTTATCATATTTATTTGTAACCATTTTTTTTTATACTAGTTTTGGGATTTATTCCTAAAGCATCCATTATTCTATAAGTATTACATAATATGAGCCTCAAATGCCCTTTGATGAGGTCATTGCTTAAATGCCACCACAGGTGATGTTTACTCACAAACGCCACATTTCATTTCACAAATCAATTTTCATGCTAAAAACTATTTACAAGGTCAAGTTATGCATAAAACTCATAAAATAACAAATTTCTCATATTGTATTTACTTCTACATAGTTATAATAGTTAATAAACACAATAAACTATATGATTACCTTAACCCTTTTGTCCGATAGAAAGGGTTACCCATGAAATTTCCTTATTTAAATTTCTCTCCACTTATCTACGCGTCACACACTAGAATCTACATAAAATTAGCATCAAAGTCAATTTCATTATTGACAAAAAGTGCTAATTATCACAATTAAGCACTTAATCGCTATTAATTTCACAATGCAAACTCGGTTACACTATCACAACTAATTATCCCTCATTACCAGCTTTAACCTTTACCTAGCCAAACTTCTCTCACTACTCTCTAGATTAGGTCAAAATATGCTTATAGCTTCAAAATTTTATCGTTCTGACTCAAACCAATCACAAAGTACTAGTTTAGTTTTAGAGAACCTTTCTATTACTATAGGGTAAAAAATCAATTCTTTAAAACTCTCAAATTCAATTTCTCACTAGTTAAAACTAAGAGAAAATAGAGTAAAATTGGAGATTAAGGCAGTATAAGACTTACCCGATAAGTAACAGGTTGAAAACATCATCCTT